TCCTTTATAGATAATCATAAATGATGAACAATCATTATTTGAAGGGCAATTCCAACTATTAAAAATTTAATGAGACTTGAAGGTCCAAAAAATCTTAGTTAAGACTTAATAGAATATAAATTCATTAACTAAGACTTGTGTGTAAATGCCCCTTTTCTTTTTTAGTTATGATCAATTTTTTTTTGTTTAGTTATGATATTATTTAAGATCTTTACTTATGCCTCATTTCTGTGTGGTTATGACTTCTTTTTTTTTTTTCTTTCAATTATGACTCAAAAAAATAAATTTTTTTAATTTTTTTTATAGTAGTCAAAGTGGAGCTGAAAAAATAAAAAATAAAAAATAAAAAAAATACAAAGATTATAAATAAGGATGAAGGATGCATATGATAGAAAGGTCCCCTCCAAAAATCTGGAGCATAGCATTTCGGTTTTATTATTGTATTTTGTACGGGTGTTCGCGGTTCGGATTTGGACGGTTTGCAGATTAGTTTAGACTCGCTCGTATTTATGCGGTTTGGAGAAAAGATAACCCGCAACTGCTCGCAGTACGGTTTGTGCGGATAGAGTTTGCGGATGTGCGGGCGGTTTGCGAATTGAACTTTTTTTTCTTCAAAAATTTATTTTTGAGCCTTATTTTTTTCTTATTTTGTAAATATTTATTTTGAGTCATTTTCTCCCTATTTTCTAAAATGCTCAAACATTAATAATTAATGAATTAAAATTTATAAAATTAAAAATACAACAAATCCAATTCGTAACACAAACAAATCATTCAAAATCTTAAATCAAATCATAAACTAACCCAAGCATATATTTCAAAATCTTAAACTATAACTCCATATTCATTAAGGAATTTAAAATTTCAAATCACACTTCATTCGGGATAAATTCAGTTATGTAATAATAATAATATGATTAGTATTTATTCAGTTTCAGTTAATATAATACTATTACCAAATGCAATGTCAGAGAAGTTCAAAAAATAAAAAGTATTTTGTTTTGGACAAAAATATCTAGGTGGGGATATATAAATGTAATCAATAGTTAAAATAAAACAATAATAATAAAAAATAAATAAATAAAGTGCAAGCGATTTCTTACGAGTGCAGGTTAAACCCACAATTTATAAAAATGTCATATTTCAAATCGTATCCACCCACATTATATTTGTAAAACCGCCCATTTATATACAAATTAAACGAGTTTGACGAATTTTGCAAATGCCCACCCCTAAAATATTTTGTAGCGGCGACTTCTTGTGAACTGACAACGCTACTTCTCCCCAGCACCCCACTCTAAACAGAAATCGCGTTCAATGATATCATCAACGGTGGTGGCCAAGTGTCTGCAGCTGCAGCAGCAGCAACGCCCGTGCTTCTTCTGTTCCCGCCAAAACATCTGCACAACAGTCTCCGCGACGGCCATCAGTTTCAGTTCAAAACCCCAATATTCATCATCATCATTCTCGCATATCAAACAAGAAGATCATCATCAATCCCCCCTCTTCTCTCCTCTCATTTTACCCACAATACACCCCAATTCGATTCGTTCCACCCTAACTGTTAAATCATCGCATTTTAATCTCCCTCTCATTTCTCCCCATGATCAATGGGGCACCTGGACTGCTCTCTTCTCCGTCGGCGCTTTTGGTATCTGGTACACTACACTTGTATACTCACTCCATTTCAATCTCTGTATTTATTCATCAACAAACAATATATAATTAGGACTTGATTTTGTCTTTTGTGTTTCTTTTTGATTGATTGCTTCTGTTCTGTGACTGTTTTGTTGAGGAAGGTCAGAGAAGACAAAGATTGGGAGTACATTGAGTGGTGCGTTGGTTAGCACTTTGGTTGGACTTGCAGCGAGTAATTTGGGGATCATATCGAGTGAAGCCCCGGCATATGCTATTGTATTGGAGTTCCTGCTCCCAATGGCTGTTCCATTGCTGTTGTTTCGAGCCGACTTGCGTCGAGTCATAAAGTCCACTGGGACGCTGCTCTTGGCCTTCTTGCTTGGATCAGGTACTACCTTCTTCTTTCTTAACATTGCAATTTTAGGTTTTGTGCTCTCATATTTGTTTCTAAATGCATTATTTATTTATTTATTGTACAATTGCTAATTTGGTTTGCCTCTCTAAAATCTTATTTTTCACTTGATTGTGTTTTTTGATCACTCTTGAGCAATGACTTTCCTTTTGAATGCATGTGTAGTAATTTCATGGAAATAATTCCTTAGATAGAAAAAGTCTGAATGGTACCGATGGCTTCTCATTTTTGTATGCTGATGTAGTTTTTCATGGGAAGTTCATTGGATAAAATGTCCAAAATGAAGCTCTGTGATGGATTCATAAGGAGAAATCATAAGAGAAGATAGATGAAAAATCGTTCTTCTGATTACTGTGTGGTGTTCTCTATGAATACTTAAATCTAGTGAAGAATTAGATTTCATGTAATTCCACCGTATTGCAAGGGGTGGCTCAATTATTTTTGGGGCTTCAGGTGAAATTTCGAACGGATGCTTTTTTATTAAATATTAATTTATATAAAAATTGGTTCTTTTTTAGAATAATTACTAATTAAGTTTTTACAATGAAGTTTTTCTAGCATTTTTTTAATTGATAATATTTTTAATCCACTTACTAGTTAAGTTTTTATAATTAACTGTTGATCCTGTTAGAAGATGTTAGGCTTCTAGGATGCTTTACTATTTTGAGGGCCAAACCAAAAGGAAAAAAAAAAAAAAATTATTTATTTATTTGATCCAGTACAAATATAGAAGGAAAAAAATTACATGACGCTTCACTTTTTTTATTTTTTAAATTATGATTTGAGCATGTGAGGCCTTGTCAACTTCCCTTTTAGGCCCAAAGAAATAATGAAGTTTTTGAGCTTTGAACATTACTAAGGGCGTTTGGTTAATAGAATATATCAGTAAGGTCCCTAAAAATTTGGGGGCCTTGGGCAATTGTCTAACACACCTAATGGATGGGCATTTTATGAAAGATGTCAACTGTAATTGAATGTGGTCGTTAGTTTCAAATTCATAGAATTCCTTTGGTTTTGTTTTTTGTTTTTTCGAACCATTGGTTTAATATTTGAAATTATTTGTACTTTGCATTCTAATCTGCCATGTGATGTCAAACAAACACCATTGGTGCTATCAACTTCTAGTTTTTCATTTTTCCTTTCATTCTCTTCTTGAAAAAGTATTGTCTGTTCTTTAAGTTTTTACGCTATACAAGATAACAGCAATATTTGTCAAAGTTTTGAAGTTTCATGAATAATATTCCCTTGATTGAAGGGTTGATGCCAGGGTGATCAAACTTCTTTTTTGAAGGGAAGCCTCACCATTTTTTGACATGACTTTTGGCTCTTTTTATTTATTTATTTTTTTTTTATTAAATGCAACAAGTGCCTTTTAGTTTTGGCTATTAATTTTGTGAGGTCTGCAGTTAGGTGTGCTTCGTTGGTTCGGAAGCAATTTCAATCTAATTGCTACCATATTCTGTCATATTTCATCAGAAGTTAAGGGATTTAAAATATATATATAAATAAATAAAACTTTTTGCTGCAATAGGCCATTATCATTGATTGTCTTTTGGTAATTAATCTGTGTCTCTCTTAGTCATGCTAAGATAATGAAGAATCTTGGTAGGTGCAGATATTGTAATCCATTCTTATAATTTCACAGCACAGCACATGCTTATGGTGTAAGAGAATTTCTGAATTGGCCATCCGTAGCTATCAGTTTATAAGCTGTGACTTTGTATATTGCTAGAGACTGATGAATATTCTTTTATAAGAAGATCATGCAGGCAACTTTGGTTTTCTACATTACCTGCTCCACAGTTTCTTTAACTATTGTTTTTATTTATTTATTTTATTTTACTATAACAGTTGCAACAACCATTGGAACTGCTGTGGCATTTTTAATGGTACCAATGCGATCTCTCGGTCAAGATAGTTGGAAGATTGCTGCTGCGCTCATGGGTAGACATATTGGTGGAGGTACTTTATAGTGAATAATGGTTGCAAGCTACCTTTTCTATGAGCTTCTTGAACCCCTTATCTATTATATGATTGACAACAGCACCATGTAATCCTGTCTAATCTTAAATACTAATTATGTAGCTTTGTTGTAACCCAGAGGAAAATGAAGTCCTTATGTGTTGCTTGATGAAGTGACTTTTCTCCTATTTTGTTGCGTTGGGAATATGCACTCGATGTTTATTTGGAGAGGAAATTATGCTTTGTGACTTGTACTAGGTATTTTTTAAGAAGCTGCTGATAGCGCCACTTATTTTCTTAGGATCCCCACCACCCAAATTCCTTTCCACCCTTTTTTTCTTTGGACCCCCACCATAATCTCAAAAATACCCCTTTCTTTGGATGCCCACACCTGCCACAACCTTTCCTCTAACAAACCCCCTCCTCCAGCACCCCAACCTCCGGCCACCTCCTCCACCACCTTCGGCACCCATCAGCACCATGGAATATGCACTCGGCTGCTGCTTGCTGCTGTCAGTGTGTGCACCTTGGTCTGCTTGGGGCCAACCTTGGGGCCACGTTGAGGCACCAAACTGTTGACTTGGAATCTCGATGCGAATCATCTAGGCACTTCCAAGGCTAGTTTGAGCACTCTTAGTCACACCCACAAATGCAAAGCGTCACAGAGTTGGCCTTGAAAGGCAACTTGTGACATTCTCCTCCACTCAAACCATCAACACCTTCGTTGATGTAGCACAAAGCTGTGCTGCAGTGTGTGTACCAGCTTCACTGATGAGTCCATCACCTGTGTGTTAATGGCCTACCTTCGACAGCCAATCTCACTTCTGGCCAAGATTCCCTCATTTATCTTTGATCAATCTAGCTGAAATGCACCCATTTGTTGCATTGTCCATCAGCAACTTCTCCTAAAACTCACTTGAGTTGATGACTGCCACTGAAAAATGCCATTTTACTCAAGTACCCCCTCTAAAATTGCTCTGATACCATGTTACATGGTATTGGGTAGAACTCAACCCCAAAAAGCTAGATATTGAAGTAATGGTGCCTTCACACTTATATGCTTAACATTAGTACTCAAGTGATGTGATGTGGGACTTTGCTTCACGCACTTCCTCACACCTAACATGCAAGCCACAGACACACCCTATCAATCCTTAAGTACTTCGGCTTTGATACCATATTACACGATGTTGGGTAGAATTCAACCCCAAAAGCTATCTATTGAGGTGAGGGTTCCTTTACGCTTATATGCTTAACATTATTTTAATACTTAGGTGATGTGGGACTTCACTTCACAGAATCACAACCCTTACTACTGGATCTCCCCTCCACCAACCCCCTTTCGCACATCTGTTGTCACCTAGCAATAACCCTCCCTTACCTCAACAAACTTTTTTGAACCGTTCCTCTTCAGTGTTCGAATTTTGTTTGGATAACCAGGGCCAAACAAACTGGATTTGTTTGGCCATTTGTTCGAGTAGAAACAACTAAACAAACCAAGTTTGTTTGATTCTACCCTACCGAGCGGGATAACATTGGTGAAATTGATCACGTTTGACCTTAATAATCCAAACAACCTGAAAATGTTTGGCTATCAAAGGCCAAACAATCGTAATTTGTTCAACAAACTAGAGTCGAACAGAGCTTTGACTCCATTTATTTCAAACCGCACGAAAATACATCAAAATGATAACTAACCACACCTAAACATCTCTTAAACACCAAAATATTGTATATAATTGATTTACAATTATTATATATATGTTTGATTTGAATGAGTTTTCTATTTTTTTTTTTCTTTATTGTAGTTGACTTTCGGAAAGGATGGCACGGGTGGGAGAGAGGGCTAAATTCGCTGACAAGGGTGTCCGAGGAGAAGTTGGGGAGGGTTGGCCGCAAGTGGTGATTGTGGGTGGGGTAGGGGTTGGGGTAGCGGTAGGGCTAGGGTTTGGATTTGGGTTTGGGTTTGGGTTTGGGTTTGGGTTTGGGAGGTTAAGGATGAGGATAAAATTGGTATTTTATGTTAGGTAAATTTGTAATTAAAAAATAATTGTAAATTACATATACATCCTATGAGATTTGCTTAAAATACAGATTAATCTCTGTGGTTTGTAAAATTATAAATACTCCCTTATTAGAATTTTTTATTTAACATAATTAACTGAAAAAATGAAATTCCTAATTGTTCTTCTATATAACAATAAAATTATCTAAATTATTAATAGAAATAAATCTCACATCATTAAAAATTGTTAATTAACATGATGATTTATTAATGAAGTGGGTTATTTCTTATGAAATTATCAACTTCAAAGGGTAGTATGTAATTTCCAAAATTACAGAGAACAATTCGTATTTTACGTAAATCTCTGGGAATGTATTAGTAATTTACCCAAAAAATAAAGAAGGTGGGGTTTCTAAGATAAAAAAGTGGGAGCTATTAGCAGCTCTCATTTATTTTTTTTTTTCGTTATATATATATAGAGTAGAATTTTTTATTTAACATAATTAACTGAAAAAATGAAATTCCTAATTGTTCTTCTATATAACAATAAAATTATCTAAATTATTAATAGAAATAAATCTCACATCATTAAAAATTGTTAATTGACATGATGATTTATTAATGAAGTGGGTCATTTCTTATGAAATTATCAACTTCAAAGGGTAGTATGTAATTTCAAAATTACAGAGAACAATTCGTATTTTAAGTAAATCTTTGGGGATGTATTAGTAATTTACCCAAAAAATAAAGAAGGTGGGGTTTCTAAGATAAAAAAGTGGGAGCTATTAGCAGCTCTCATTTATTTATTTATTTATAAATATATAGAGTATAACCAAGAGTTTTAAAATTATCACCAATTACCTAATTTTTGTATGTCTTCGGCATGTGTGATATAAGTTTTCCCCATTAAAAGTTTTTATTGGTTTTGGAGACTAATGTTTGTGAGGGATACTATTTATCTTCATTATCTTCTAAATTCCTCATTTCCCTTTATAAACTAGGAGTGTTCAGAAAACCAAGTCAGACCACTAAACCGCCTGAACCAGACCAAACCATTTAGGAGATGGTTTGGTTCTGGTTCTAATAAATTAAGAACTGTTGATTACGGTTGAGTTCGCAGATTAAGACTCAAAAATCTGAATTAAACCAAACCGTTCCTTACTTTTTATTAATTTTGATATATATATATATATATATTTATATAGGGGTATTTCACAAGGAATCTGTTCTCTTTCTCATTGACTTCCTAGAACTTCAATCTTATTTCAATGTTTTTTTTTTTTAGATCGGGATCTTATTTCAATGCTGATGACACCTTTATTCATCCTATGTAGAAAATATTTTCCACTCTATATAAAGATATATATGTTTATGTATTGTGTTTTTCACTATTTATATATTTTTACACCCGTGTTTTTTTTTTTTTTTTTTTGGATAACTTAAAATTTTATAGCACTAACAATGCAAACAACCTGTAACTAGATTCCAAACAGAAAAAAATTCAACTAGAAAACATAGAGTGAAACACTGGTCACACAGTTACCAAAGGAAATTTACACAATAACTGAAAAAGTCTTCTAGAAATACTTCAATAAGAGCACATAAGACGATTCTCCTGAGACTATTCAACCTTCCTCCATGAACACAACTTAAATATCACATCAGCAATGATTCAAGCAGTCACTCGATCAGGCTCAGTCTTTTTAGAGAGAAGATCCTACAATTCCTTTCACCCCACACTTGGTAGATGGTTGCAGGTTCACATTGGGTTGGAGTTGGGCTGCTCCTACTGAGTCTTCTTCAATGCTATTCCTTTCACACTGCTGGCAAATTCAACCATTTCCCTGGCTTCAATCTTGTTCAATCCATAAAAGCTTGCAATCCCACATTGCAAGTTTGTAAATTGATTGAGTGAAAGAAATGGCAATTATATGCAATAGCACACCGAATTTCATCTTCCAGTGGAAGGGGATCCCTGTGATGTTATTAGTGTGATTCCTTCTTAGAATCTACTTCCAAATACTCTTTGAATAGCAACACTCAAAAAATAAATGGCAATGGGATTCATCATCGTGGCTGCTAAGAACACAAGTTGCATCATTTGTCACACCACATTTCTTAAGTCGATCTTTGGTAGATAAGTTCCCCAAAAAGCTCAGCCATTGTACAAATGTCCATCTGTGAACATTTTGGGAAAACCACACAACTTTATTTTTTTGATCAGCAAAGTAAAATTTTCATTAAAAACATGAAATTAAAGGTACGCGGAAATGAAATGTACAGAGACAGGTTCAGAGAGTTCAAACTCCCCTAGTACTGCTACTCGCATCCACACAACCAACCCCTCAGCCTCATGATTTTTTAAGTTTTACAAGGAAAAAAATAATAATTGAGAAGCTCTTAAACACAAAACACCAGAAAGATTTGAACCGCCCAGAAAATCTTTCCCACACCAAAACACACTACCCAAAGCCACACTGAAATCCCACAACCTTCTGTTCCCCAAAAACACATCCCCAAATATTGATCCACCTCACCAACCTCCACGCACATCACTAAGAAAAAAACCCTGCCAAAGAGGACGAAAAACACCACAAGCAACCATCCCACAGCTCCATCTCTGCACTCGCCCCCCATTTCTGCTACTCCACCTCCGCTACTACTCGCATCCCATCTTGCAATTCCAGCTCCATCACCATCTCTGCCGCTGCAGCTCCAATACACACCATCTCGATTCCGCCTCCATTTACTTGTTGCGATTGTTGAAATAAGCTTCTTGTTCCTCGTTCATGAACAAGCTCCTTTGCTCCCTCTCCTCTTTCACCCCGACCACTGTCCATTACCGATCCAAAATTGCCGAAAAACATTAAGGGCCCCCGCACAAACACCCTCTCAAAACTCCCAACGAAACAACATCCAACCGACCAAACTCAACCAATCAAACACCCTCCAAATCCCCCACATCCATTTGCCGAACACTCAAAAAAGCATCCAACCAACACCCAAACTGAAGCCACCCCTTAAACACCCACCTGCCCAACCAACACCCAAGCTGGAGCCACCTCTCAAACACCCACCTACCGAAGCCATCTGCTGAAACCCAAACCATGCCCAACCAACGCCCAAACATCCCAATTACACATCATCTGATACCTTCGAAAACAATGCCCAAAAACAACCAACTGCTGAACACAATAGATTTGGAGCCACTGTCTGTCGGAAATGATAGATCTAAGATCGCCGAAAATGGTGGAATTGACAACCCCCCTCACCCTTTCTTCCATAGCCGCTAAACCTATAACCGAAAACTCTCTCAGAAACGTCTGAAATTGAGGCACCCATCACCAAAACTAAAGAATAAAAACACCCTAAACAAACTAAGAACTAACTATGGTGAGAGTAATAAAACTATGGGGGGTTCTAGTTTATTGAAGAAAACAAAACGCGCACACGCAAAGAGAAAGAAGAGGCCAGCTCGCCACATGGCCATTGGCGGTGGCCAGCCAGCGGTGAGGCTCCGGATGAAGGTTTAAGAGAAACAGTTTAGAGAGATAAAAAGATTTTTGCTTTCTAAACCACACAACTTTATACCGTGGAACAACTGGTTTACATTCCCTAATTGCCTTCCAAGCAGAATGAATGGTGAATTGATTATTAGACTTGGGAAGCCACCTTACATATTGTCATCCTTAGTAATAACAGGCCTCAAAGAATGAGGCATATGAGTTATAATCTGTTGGATACTCCTATTTCTTCTCTTAGGCCAATTCCAATATCCCTGCTTGCCAGTTATCAAGTCCCAAAAAAAGTATCATTACCATTGCCAATGACAAACCACTCTAAAGATCTTTCTATAGTCCATGAAGCATCAACAGGTAAAGATATGGACCACAGAGACAACAACCTTTTATGATATAAGTATGAATTCATTTGACACACAAAAATCAGCTTTCTTACAAATAGCCCATAAATGCTTCAACATTGCAGCTTTATTCCAAGTTGTAAAAGCTTAAAACCCAGCCCCCCTTATTTTTTAGGACAAAATTGCAGATTTTTACACTTGTTATAGGGAGCCGCTATTCCCATTCAACTTTGCTTCATATACACTCTTTTCTTTGTCCTTATTATACATAGTTACATTAATACTCTTGAAATTTTGGTTTTTTCAGGGAGTGTATTTTGTGTGAAAGGGTATTAACATAACTATGTATATTAAGGACAAAGAAGGGAGTGCATTTGAAGCAAAATAGAGTGGGAATAACGGATCCCTTGTTATATTATTAAAATTGTATTTCTACAGTAATTGCTATGTAATAAGATGAATTTGTTTTGCCTGTACACATTTTATAAAATTTAGTTTGGAGAATATTCTAAAATTTTGAAGTATACTTGTAGAATTTTTGAAATATTTTTATAGGTAGAATAAATATTTGTTTTAATGAATAATTGATATATTGATAAATTTCTTAGCATTGCTACATGGAACCGAACCAAAACTGAACCAGTTTGCAGTTTGGTTCCAAAGATTGAACTGTTTAATTTGGTTTTCAAATTTTTGGGACCGTAGGTATTGATTTGGTTCTTGGTTTACCTTAAACCCAAACCATTCCGATCCATGAACACCGGTATTATAAATAGCACATTTGTTTAAAATAAATTTAACTAATTTCACTTTGCCTATGGTTTAAACTGGTAAGATCAAGTTGGCCTCACTCCTTTACCCATGCCGATAACCTGGATTGCTCTGCTTTACATTAATAGAATCTAGTATGCAATTTTGAAAGTTTGAATTTTTTTCATATGCAAATTGGTTAGTCTGGTTTTTTTCTCTTCTTCTTCGTCTTCCTTTTTTTTAAGCTTAAAATTATGTGAGTTGTCATGATAAGTTTAAATTCTTTGAGTTGTGATATTCTTTTACAAGTGGCATTTCCTTTTCCAAGTTTTTCAGCATGACTGATGAAGTTTCTGTTTCTAATTCTGTGTAGCTGTCAATTATGTTGCCATTTCCAAAGCCCTTGGCGTCTCTCCCTCAGTTTTAGCTGCAGGACTAGCTGCAGATAATGTTATCTGTGCAGTATATTTTACAACATTGTTTGCATTGGCTTCCAAAATACCTCCGGAGTCTTCAACATCAACCAATGGTGTGTCGATGGAATACTGATTTATTGATCAGTTTGTTTTTGTTTGTACGTATCCTCTAGAAAATCTGAATTGGCATAGCCACTGTTAAAAAGAGCTAAGGAAACAAACATTGCCATAGCTGATGAACGAATTGTCACTATAATATCTATCCTTTAATGATAACTGGAATTTAACAGATGTTGGATCAAATATGGGGTCAGAAACGAGCAACAAGCTTCCTGTGTTGCAGACTGCAACTGCCATTGCTGTATCATTTGCTATCTGCAAGATAGCCACGTTATTCACGAAACACTTTGGAATTCAAGGAGGTAGCCTTCCGGCCATTACAGCAATTGTTGTTATTCTAGCAACTGCATTTCCAACACAATTTGATCACCTTGCACCTTCTGGTGAGGCTATGGCTGTGATTCTGATGCAGGCAAGTTTGTCTCGTGTAAATTCATCTACCTTCACTCAACTCCAAAATTCCAAAGTGTGTGTTTAATATGAATTCTCATTAATTGTATGTTTCCATGAAAATATTAACCATTCTTTTACTAAACATTAACCATGCTTAGTAATAATAGTCAGTGCCTTGACAAAAGCTTTGTTTTCATGGTTCTTTTTGGCAGCTTCACGCTACTGACAAGAATAGCCTAGTCTTTCTATTGTAGTTGTGCTGATTTGTATGGTGTTAATTGTTTTCACAGGTTTTTTTCACCGTGGTGGGTGCTAGTGGGAACATATGGAATGTCATCAACACGGCCCCAAGCATATTCATGTTTGCTTTGGTCCAGATCGCGGTTCATCTTGCAGTGATCCTTGGATTAGGAAAGTTGTTTCGCTTTGACCTGAGGTTATTGCTTTTGGCATCAAATGCGAATGTTGGAGGCCCTACAACAGCTTGTGGAATGGCCACAGCCAAAGGATGGAGGTCTTTAGTTGTTCCTGGTATTCTTGCTGGCATCTTTGGCATTGCAATTGCTACTTTCCTAGGCATTGCTTTTGGAGTGACAGTTCTTAAGTACATATAAACTAATTCTGAATATCAGAAAACTGAGCTGATCTGTAACTTAGTAATTGTAATCTATCAAGGAAAAAACTATACAAACAACTCATTCAAAATGATGTGATATTGGCATTTTTTTTATATGAAAAATGGTTACATGAGCAAAAATTTTATTCAAAAAATTTAGACCAAATGAAATGCAAGTTTTGTTTTTTAAATTATGAGTCATGGTATAGAGTGTTTTGGTTTACAATGAAAGGATCACAAATATGAAAATATTCTACAAAATTTTGGTTTGGGCAACATTATTCTTTTGATACTATGAAGCAGTCATTGGTGTTTTGTTTTGAAGTTGGGATATTGCAAGCGTTGCATTTTGTTGCCCCTCCTAACACCATAGCTGGTGAGAGCACTGTTCGTATTTTTGTATTTTTTCGATGGAGGGCACTGTTTCAGTGTTTTTTGCTCTTGTTTTTTTTTTTAATCATATTTATCAATCAACCTGATTGGGAGTTATTTAATGGCTTAAACTTGGATGATGGGGGAAAAACGAACTAAATAGCTCAAGATAGACTGTATTCCGCTTGTTAAAAATACGTTTGATCTCAATTCGTTAAGTAACTAAGTCAATTTTACATATTTTTAAGCTTGTTAAAGTTTTTAAACTAAATTTGAACAATTAATTACTCGTTTGGCTCAGTTTGATAAGCTTCATATGAAAATACTAATTAAATTATTCGAGTTTGGATAGACAAAAATTCGTTTGAGATGAACTTTAAAGTTTAACGAATTAAATTTGAATAAATTTTGAAACTCATTAAATTTTTTAAATCTAAATTGAATAGTTAATTGTTCAACTTGTTCGACTCGTTTGTCACCCATTAATGTCCAAACATACAACAAAATTTCAAAAACAAAAAAAAGTCTTCTTTTAATACCAAAATTTAATCCAATAGCTAGGAATAAAACATTTAAAATTTTATGATTACTAGATTCAAGTTATATTTGGATATTTGCGGGTCAATAATGAGTTCATGTTTACATATCGATACAAATTTTCACATGGGTCATATAAATCGTGTGCGAGTTATGTATGTTCAATCATAACACAACTCAAATCGTATGTGAGTTACGCATGTTTAACCATAACACAACCCATTTAATATATACATTTTGGCAAAGTGTCATATTCCTCTTCCTATAAAAAAATTCCTTACTAAATAATATAAACAATAATTAACTTTGTAATATGAAATTCCCATTTATGTATGCTTTGTTTTGTATTATAAAGTTCTCATATGAGAAAATTTCATTTTTAGCTCTATATTTTGCCTCGATGATCAATTTTACACCTAAACTTTGCGTAATTTCAATTTTACCTCCTCCAATGTTATTGAAATCTTAACATTTTGCCCCTTATCATCACATTTAAACAGAAAAAGTCTTTCAAAACTACATTTTGACCCCAAAATTTTAAAAGAAAGATGCGAAGTCACCATTTCTTATCCAAACTCACCATTTCTCTTCTCTACACCTCTGTAACTCCGCCAGCCACCACTGTCGGCGGCTAGCTCTCTTCCACTGCAACCCTTCCCCATGAAACCCTAATTGGGCAAGTTTTCTTTCACGAAATGACCCATAATTAGCAAATGTGACTGTGAATTCAAAGTCTTGCTGTTTTCCACCGCCATGGCCGCTAGCAAATGGTGAGACTGCGGGGAGATCTCGCCAGAGTTGCAAATGTTGGCAAGTATTCCGATCAGTTCATGGAATGCAAAGCTGTTGTTGGATATAGCCGAATTGGAAGCCGCCAGAGATGAGACCATTGAGCTCATGGCAAACTCGAAGTTCGTGTACTGGTCCGTTGACTTGTCCCATTTGGGATTGAGAAAACAATTTGGATATTGCTCGGGTGAGTCGCCATGGGTGGTCCATTTCAATCACATGGTCATCCAAGAAACTCTTCAAATCTAGATTATTCAACAAACCCATCTCAAGAGCTCCCACCATGAAATGAGCTTGCAATGCCAACTTTGATGACTTTTTCAATGAAGATTTATCTGAATTTGCCCAAAATTTTGAGTTACTAGAGAATGAAAACACCACCACCTGGCCAAAGTCTGTTGTGGGGACTAAAGAACATAGAACCAATCTGTCATTCAGGGTTTTATTGTTCCCATCAAAGCTCAGATCATTAGAACCTTTTATGTTTGTAATAGAACCGGAGCCACCACAATGATCAGAGAAGCAAGAGCTTATCTGGGCAACCATCAAAAGAAGAGTGAACAGCGTTGATTTTTTTGCTTTCTCTGAGGGTGATAAAGAAGAAGTAACAATGGCAATAAGGTTTTGGAGGTTTGTGAGAATCAACTTCTTGTTATGTAAAGAAAGCCTTTTCTTCTTCAAGCTCATGCATTGAAGCTGAGAGAATTCATATTATGAGGATTTAGAGAAGATCAAAACTCGGGTGTCCATAGAAATGTACACCTCTTTCGCGTAGTTGCTTGAACAAGTTTTTTTCGTGTACATTGTGTGAAGCCACAAAAAAATTTTCAACATTGGAAAGTATGTAACATTGGAAAGTATGTATCAAGTACAATTCGAGTCATTTTCCAAGAAAATTTGTGGTGGTGGGAAAGCTCACTCTTTGCTGGATGATTTACACCCTTCTTCTTCAAATGAAGATCGCAAAATTAGTGAAACAACAATGCTACATCCCACTAAAAGTGGTGCTCTAAAGCACCACTAATGAGTTGGCACCCACTTTGTTTTAAAAAAAAAAAAAAACACAAGGCACAAAAAAATTGTGGCAGTGGGTCCCACCCACTGCCACATCATTAGTGGTAGCACTAATTAGTGCTTCCACTCATTTTCCTTAGTGAAGGACACGGGGTTGTGGAGTTCGGTAGTGGATGAAGCCACTAGGATGTAGGAGGAATCAATGTATGGAGTTGTTGATTAGTGGAGGAGGGCTAGCCGCCCATGGTGGTGGCCGGTGGAGTTGGAGAGATGGTGAGTTTAGGTAAGAGATGGCAAGTATGTATTTTTCTTTTGAAATTTGGGTCAAAATATAATTTTTTTAAAAAACTTTTTCCGGTGATGGTAGGGGGCAAATTGCCACTATTTCAAAAAATTTGGGGATAAAATTAAAATTACGCAAAGTTGGGGGTAGAATTGATCATCGAGACAAATTATAGGGATTAAAATAAAATTTTCTCCTCCTATATTTACCCGAAAATAAGGTCGGTCCTAACTTTTTAAGGACCTAAGGTGAACTCAGAAGATGGGGTTTTCACTCTCATACATATTTTAAAACATATATTGGTATAATAATAATAATCTTCAACTTATTTTTATTTTTTTGCTTGTACATCATATAAATTTGTTACATATGGTACACATAATTATTGGCGTAAATCATAATTATTGAGATAAATTTTGAACATTTTTTTTTAATTATTAACACTATTAATTTATTCACACGTTTTCCTGACGTAATAAATTAAATTGTAAAATTTGATTAATTTCAACTTTAAAAAAATTATTTTTCAAGAAGTAATTATAATTCGTATAGTCAAATAATATTATATAAATAATTCATACATTTGACAAGCAATCATCCATTTTTTTTTTAAATGATTCATCAATTCAATTGTTTGTATAAATCTTCATTTTTAAACTACTACTGCATTGTAGTGCTTAATTCACTGAATTGAAATTGAATTGAATAGAATAGTCATTCCTTAGGCCTTGTTTGGGAGCATGTTTTTTTAGTAACTTTTTGGCTAAAATGTGATGTAAAAAAAATTAATATGTTTTGGATGACTTTTTGACTTTTTACGAAAAGATGTGCAAAAAGTAGAGGGAAAATGAAATCTTTGACTTTTTTGTATGGATTGTTGACTTTTTGATTTTTTTAGTGACTTTTTAACTTTTTAGCTAAAACAGCCACTTGCCAAACGAGCCCTAAGACTTTATAAAATTATTATTCATTCACAATAGTGAATTGTGATTTCGTTTGTAATGTGTTTTAGTAAAACAAACATGAAAATAGATATTATCATAGAATGATTACGCTATTCAACTTTATTTTAATAAATCAAATATAACTTAAAATCAAAATTATTTTCAAATCTTATTTTTTAGACATAATTTGGGGGCTTGAGGCGGTGGCCTTGCCCGCCTTACCTCACGGTCCCTGCCAAAAAAAAAAATAGTAACTTTTAAGAATTAAAACAAGATTAATTTGCCTAACATGTTTGCTCAAACTCATTAGGAGATAAAAAGAGACCTTCCAACCCTCCTTGCAATTTATTACATTTTTTTTTTCATACTCATTAGAGCATCTCCAATCCAGTATTAGATCCTTTATCAAATTTGAAATTTGACGAAAAGCGCCAAATGAAGCGCTCCAACCCTCACCAAATTCAGTTTAAAAAAAAGAAAAAAAAAAAAGGCAATTTCACCAAATTCATATCAAATAAAGGTAAAACCAAAGCTTTCATAAAATGAGAACCTTTAGGCCGGAAATCCTCCCGAATGTCCACCCAGAGCAATTTCAATAGTTTTTTTGTTCATATCCGGATGACTTCCAGGACATTTGCCCGGACAACTAGGGATGCGAAAAAATCTGATGAAAATTTTAGTTTTAGCATTTGAGTGAAAAGTATCAAATCAAAATTTTTATTAAAATTTTGCTCAAATTTAATGAAATTTTTTATTCATCATTTGAGATGGTCTTAGGAGATAAAAAGAAATCTTTTAGCTCTCCTTACTCTCGATTTTAATATATATATTGAATTTGAGCTCGCTTGAATTGTTTGAATTTGGTATGTCGATTGACACTTGGTCATCCGAGAGGTTGTCTAGCTTGTCATTTAGACGAATGCCTGTTAACACACCGATTAATAAAAATAATAATTATAATTGATAAAGACAATAATTGCGATTGATAAAAATAACGTTGATCATCCGAACAATTGTCTAACCACATCATTCAAACAGAGGCAGGCTCCAGTGACCAAGCATTTTTCTTTAATATAAGAATTGAGAGTCCTTATTCTAGAGAATCAAGTGAAACCACTAGTCAATTTTATCCATTTTGTTTGGTATCGTGAGCCAATTACAGTACTATGTGCCGGCCAAGTCAGCATCACTGTGATGTGATG